CAAACTTGGCCACTTTAAGATGAGTGGACTTCAACTCCCAGAATTCCCCAGCCAGCATGTTCCCAATTGGGAACAGTATCAAGCGGTGGGAATCAGAACGCATCCTGTCCTTTATCCCCCAGATGGCTGGCTGGGGAATTCTGGGAGTTGAAGTCCACTCATCTTAAAGTGGCCAAGTTTGGACAACCCTGAACTATAAGAAGAAGACGGGATCGATGTCGGTCCTGGGCCTTGCATGAAGCCAGAGGCAGAATTCCACAGTAGAAGACTCCATGTTGAGCTATCATTTTTCCCTTACATAAAGGGGAAAAGTCCAAGACACTGGAAGAACCAATCTTGCAAAACTTACTTTTGAGCGCTGACGTGATAAGAGAGCAAGCGGAAGTTCCCATCTGGGGGGATAAAGGACAGGATGCGTTCTGATTCCCACCGCTTGAAACGCACACAGGGGTGGAAGCTGACATCATCGAGCAACCGGGGGTTCTGAAACAAGAAGGAGGAAAGTGTGTGAAGTCCCGTGGCAGGTGATGCTATTCCTTTGTTATGAAGGAGCCTGATCAGCCATAGTCATACTGTGTTGTTCTTTGGTCTTCCTTATAGCTATCTCTTTGATACTGTTCCCAATCCCCATTTCAAAGACTTAAACTCTTCCCATCACCCTTCCTCCCATAAGACCCTTCCCCTATTTTAAAACAAAGCGGCTGCATCTCTCACTTGTAATGTCCACCTTCCAGAGTTGTTCCTAATTTCCATCCATCTCTGCAGGCCAGGAAATAAACTCTTGTGTAACCTCAACATCCTCCAAGAGATGAAGAACCAAAGTCACCCACACCAACTTGCCTGGACTCATGGCGGTCATGCAGAACACGAGTGCTCTGTTTTGACGGCTTTGTACCCCTTGTGGGTAGAGCAGACTGGTTTCTTATTTTGGATATGGCCACCATGATGGTTTGCTATGGAAGGGCAGCCTGGGAATTTACTAAAACTGGTGTGCAAGAGAGGTCTTTCCTCTCTCACTTTACCATGAAGGAGAGAGTGAGGTCAGGCATCCCAGTCAATTTCACGCAGGCATCGATCACCCCTTGGATTTCAGCCGTAATTGTGGAACCTGCCACAGAAAATAAATACCACATGGGTCAGGAAGGACATTGGGGGCAGTCTAGGCTGACCTAGATTATTCTTTTTAAAAAGGTAAGTTTAAGTATCTTGGCAAAGCAAGACTACCACCCATTAACTAATTAAGGTAGTGTTTCTCAACCTTGGGAACTTTAAGATGTGTGGACTTCAACTCCTAGAATTCTGGGAGTTGAAGTCCACACATCTTAAAGTTCCCAAGGTTGAGAAACACTGAATTAAGGGAAGTAAACTAGAAAGGAGAGCCAATGTGGTGTAGAGATGAAGATGCTGGAGGAGACCCAGGTTCTAGTCCTGTCGTAGACACAGGAGCCAAATGAACGACTTTGGGTCAGTCCCTGTCAGCCCTAGGGAGAAGAAAGATGCTGGGTCTCCTCTAGCATCTTCACCTCTACACCACATTGGCTCTCCTTACTTCCCTTAATTCAGTGTTTCTCAACCTTGGGAACTTTAAGATGTGTGGACTTCAATTCACACAACTTTAAGATGTATGGACTTCAACCCAAAATGTTGTCAAGAAAAGTGGACAAATCTACTGCTGGGATTTGTCCAGGCAGTTGCCAGGAGCCAAGGCTGACTCGAAGGTGCAAAATAAACATAAACTAGAGATAGGAAAGGCCATATCAAACAGAATACACAGCAAAGCACAAAGGCTTTGGTTTCCCATAAAATGCTGAGATTTCTGCTTTCTTCGGCTGAGGGCACCATCACCTTGAAGAGCTGCTGCAGAATACCTGACTTGTCGATGATGGCGTCTATTTCCTCAATCACATCAAAGTAGGCTTCGTTGTTGGTGTACTTCACACTGGTCCGTCGCCAGGGGACCACGGAGAGCTGCCCTGTAGGAAGCTGCTCTCCCACATTGGTGCTTCCTGGGAAGATGAAGAAGGGAGTAAGAAGCTAGAATACGGTCCAAACAAGTCAGTTTGGCTGCAGCAATACAATACGACCAAATGGTGGCCACAAGCATACAATCGAAGCCCTGCTCCTTCTTACGTGTGTCCCAAGTCACATAAAAGCAGGTAGGCTTTAGCCATGCAATCATGGCTACAACCTTGCCCTTCTTGACACACACACACACACACCAGGTGCCCCTGAAAGCAACCCTTTGGTTTCAGATAGTTTGTCCAACCAGCATGTTCTCTTAGAAACATCAGCCACCAAGCAGGAGCAACTCTATTTGTATGGACCTTTTACTAATATAAATGTGCAGTTTGTTACTCTGAAGCTTTCTATGGGTTCCTTGTTTTTTCTCTCCTGTTTTCCAACTCTTTAAAATCACAACAAACCCCAAAGAAAACAAAGCAACGGTGGATGCGCTGTTGTACATCCAACACCACCTTGAAAATAAACAATAGTAAAATAAATATTCAGGTGTTTGGCTGAGGACAATGCTGGGTTTTCCTCTTTCGACCTCACCCTAATGGGTCCTCCTCAGCACAATCCAAACTGGTCTACTCAGAATTAAGTCCCATTTAATTTAATGGAATTTATTCCCAAGTAAATATGTGTATCATTAAGTTATGATTTTATTAACCATCTTTTGCTGAATAAATTACAATTGTCATGCTAACTCAAAATCAAACAAATCACTGATTGCTTGGTGGGATAGCTGAACCTAGCCTTTCTTTCCATCTTATACAATCAAACAGAAGTCCACATAGGCTGTGTTAGTGTAACACTCTACCTCATGCTGAACTGAATCATGGTTTACGGAAGTAACCCAAGAACTTAGGTATGCTCCACACACTTCACCATAAACTAACTACTTAGGCTGAGTTCAACCAATCCCATGAACCACAAATCAGCCAACACCATTTTAGCCTAATGAACTATGGGGGGCCAGTCACAACCATCTACCTGTGATTGTATTGACAACTGTCCGGAGGATTGTCGGCGGCTTGATCAGCTCCTTCAGAATATTGGACTCTGTTGCCAAAGGGAAACCATTGTCCAGCATCTCCTCGAGCACCTCGTAGACCACCACTACATTGTCCTTGATGACAACCTCGGAGCAGACTCCAAAATAATCCTAGGGAGGGTGGGGAGAAGCAACATTAACCAGCCCTCCATTCTGGAGTCAGCTGCCTCAAGAAAATCTTGGAGAGATTCCCTAAACCCCCAGGAATTAGGCGAGAACCAAAATTATAGATGGCCTCCAAAATAAGGAAATATGAGCCATGGTTCAGAAAGGACCGTCTCCTGTACAAACTCAGCAGAAACAAAAGGGGGTGGGGGTGGGGAATTGCACTATGGGACTACTATAACGGCTGGAAATGGCCCATCCCATTTGGGACGGAGAACACATCCTGTTTTCTGCTTCAAAGGCCACAAGCAGCATTTCTCATTTTACAACCACCAGGAAGTTCCAACGGTAACCAAAAACCAGGAACATGTATAATAAAGGAGTCCTAGATAAGCAGCCTTGATTTTGTTCCCCTCATCAAATTGCAACTAAGAGCTCAACGTAATTTCATACAGGACTGTAAGAAGAATGGAACTATACTGTATGTAAGGGGGTAGGGGGAGAAACTGGGGAGACTCCAAGAAAAACAGACATATTCATTTAGAACAGTGTTTCTCAACCTTGGCCACTTGAAGATGTGTGGACTTCAACTCCCAGAATTCCCCAGCCAGCATGCTCAAGAGCGGAAAGACCCACAATGGAGGAACAGTTGGTAAAGATGATGGAACTTGCACAGATGGCCAAATTGACTTCTTTGATCAGAGAAAAGGCAATATCTACATTTATGGCTGACTGGAAACCCCTTACAGACTTTTTGCATGGAACAGAAAAAAAAAAACTCTTATGATTTGTGGTTTTGATGATTAGGAAAAAAAAATTAGATAACAGAAAAAAATGAGCTGTTTTTGGTAACTACAGAGTAAGAGAGAACTTTGTAATTAGGAAGCTTCTTCTATTTTGTTTTTTTTCCTGCACTTTTGTCATTGTTCTCTTTGTTTCTTTGTTTTCTTTATTCTGTATTAAAGTTTGTCAGTTTTTATCTTCTCTTTAAAAGCTTTAATAAAATTTATTTGTGTGTGTGTATATATAAAGAAATAAAAATAGTTAAGTGGAAGGAAAGTATGAAAATCCTCCCATCTAACCCTGGTGCTGATCTGGACTCTCCTCCTGCCCCCGCCCCCCACATTCAGGGACAGGATTTCTATTTTAAGTTTAAAATTTCTTCATGACAGAGAGTGGGGCAAAGGAGGACAAGAAAGGAAGATCTGAAATCACATGTAATTTGGCCTTTACCAGACAGCACTCACTCCGTCCCATGATCAGCCAAGCCTTCAAGAAAACCCCAAATGGCTTTTCCATCACAGTCTTATGCCATCATCACCTTCCCCAACGGGGCACCCCTAAGTTGGGTGGCACTACCCAAGGTCTACGATGATGGGCATTCCAGTCCAACTTGCCTGGAGGTTCCAGATTGTTTGGATTGGACACGCAGAAACACGTCAACGTCCATAAACAAGGCTACCTTAGACCAGAGAGAATGCTAAATCCTGATGCCCAGAAGCTGCTGCTTGAAACAGCTGCTCTGCGTTCTTCGTGGCAAGGCCAGTCCTGCCTTTATGCTAATCACCATCCCTGGGCTCAAAGTACTCATATGAAATGTTGTGCTCAGGGTACCTTCATTCTGCCAGACAGGCTGATCAGGTAGGGCAAGTCTGAGCTGTATTTGCTCTCCCACTTTCCCTTGGTCGCATACCAGGCTCTCTCCTGAAAGTGCCACCAATGCAATAGTGTGGGAAAAGGGCACCATACGAGACACTGGCAGGAAGGGATCGACAAGTTATGATGGTGGATACACCTGCACGGTTGAAGCCCTACTCCTTTTCGTACAAAGGTTTGCACATTAAAAAGGGGTGGGGCTTTGATTACATGGGCACAACCAGCATCTTGACTTTTTTGACACACCAACACACCCCCATGGACACGCCAGCACCATGCTTGAACTGGTTCATACACTAACCCATATTTGGATTATGGTTTACTAAATAAACCACAGTGGCTGGGTCTAGGGTAAGAGTGCTGTGACCCAACCACTATGGTTTAGTGGCTAAGCTATAAATCATGGTTCAGAAACCAAAATGTCTGAGGCCACAGAGCACACTGAGCAAAAACCAGACAAACCACCTTAGGACACAGTACATGTGAACCCAACTGACTGCTTAGCCCAGCTCAGTTTTAAGCTGTTGCCACACACTCATTACTGTCCGCAAACGTTTTTGCTGACCTAGAGTATCCTACTTATAATGGTTTAGAGCAGTGTTTTTCAAACTTGGCAACTTTGAGATGTGTGGACCTCAACTCCCAGAATTCCCCAGCCACCATTCAAAGTTGCCAAGTTTGAAAAACACTGGTTTCGAGCATAACCACAATTTCTGGAATTCCCAGCCAGCACTGGGCTTTGGGCAACAAGTCTGGGCAAAGTTGACAAGCCAACCATCTCCTTACGGAACCTGAAGCTCAGGAGGAGTCATAAAACAAGAATTTTCTCCAGCGGGCAGACAGAGCCAAATTTTCTCCAAAAGATCAAAAAGCAAGCAAAGAAACACCACAGTGGTGTCCACAGGGTGTGGTCAGAGGGTCAAGATGGCGGCCACAATGTTGTGGTCAAAGGTCTGCCCATTTTTTTAGGCGCATAACCGACATCTGCAGACACCTGAGACACTGAGCTGAACCACAAGTGAACTCCCCTTAGTCCTCCAACATTGCGGGTGGTATGAGAATACTGGTGACTAGGGCTGCCCTCAGATTAGATACTTCATAGAGTTGTTTCAAGGACAGCACATGGGCAAAGTCTGTGCCTGCATGTTAAGATCTTCAGAGAAGAGAGAAATGGTAGAACTAGAAGGAAATGGGTGGTGATACCCTCAAGCTATGATGTCTTTTGCCTGCACCAGCTCAGCTCTTCTGACAAGTTAGAATTCGATGCAACATCAGAGGTCCTTATTTCGACTGAACGGGCTGCCCGAAGAAAGCAGCGGTTGAAGCAATTCCTGCTGCGGCCCTTTCTATGGATCACAACGACAACTGCGCGTTCCGTCCACACGGAAGGATTTTTGTGCCGAATTTCAACCAGTTTATACAAGTGCCCCTCCAAACTGGAAACAACAAAACGAAACAGGCACAATGCCTTCTGGCTCCAAATATGAAAAAGGAACTAGTTTTGCTGATTTATGACTAAGTTGGTCATGTGAAACTAATCGTGTAGCAACCCACGCCAAGCTAAGTCCAAAGAGTCAACCAGTTACATACAGCAATTGATTGAAATGAACGGTGATTGAAATTAACAAGGTAACAAATCTGCAAACAACTAACTGAGTAAAGCTATTTATTACTAGTGCCAACAGCAATATTTTTGGCCAGGACCTTGAAAAGGCCTTGATCGGTAGCCCAAAATCTGAAGAAAAATGTTGCCACTTCTTCCCTACTGATATTTTTTTTTCACGGCAGCTCTATTTTGGCAATGATTCCTCCTTATACCGAGCAGCGTTAGCAGAAAGCATCGGGCAGTCACATTGCATAACCCTGCATCAAAAGATAACACGTGATTTAACATGTGATTTCCCCAAGTTCTCCTCCTCGTAGTCACGGTTAACCACAATTCAATTTCTCCCATTTTGTCACTGCTGGATGCACGTGAATTTTATCATCCACGCTTCTGCATGCTACATTTTTAGGGGCCCCCTTCAGAATCCCTAAAAACCAGACTGGCGGGCATTAAATTCTAAATCCCACAAATATTTCACCTACCTGAAAAGTATCCACCACCCGGTGAAGGAACTCAATGACGAAAAGCGGTGGCACTTCTGTTTGGATCACGGCCACGAAGAAGATCTTGTGCCGATACACGCTCAGAAGATAATGGTGAGGGGTCGGAATCACCGGGGGCACATTTTCAGCCTCCGAAGCCCGCTCCTGGGCCTCGAAGAAGTAGTCGCAAACCGAACGGCTGATCACACTCTTCCAGTGTTTCTCCAGGAAAATGTCTCCGGAGGAGTTAATGAGGAAAAGGCTGTGAATCATAGCTGGTCCAAGAGGAGGCCCAGCGCTGAGGACCCGTCGCCAACCACGAGATAATCTGCTCTATGGCACCTCAAATCTAAAAATCAACACACCAGCAAAGGACATTTCTTACGTCTGCTGTTCCCTTGAGGTTCTCCACGAGCTTGCAATAAGCTCAGGGAATGCAGCGCAAGCCGATTTACAGTCGCCGGCACGATCGTCAGCAAGAATGTGGGGCAAGCAAATGCAGGACAGTGTGGGGAAACATTACTGAGGTTAGATTGCTGTTGCAACATCAGAGGAGAAATTTGAACAAGCGGGCCAGCCATCGCAGAACTGCTGGTGTGTTTCTTCTCAGGTGCTATGAGGGTTTTGCCTTTTGCTTTAAGGACTCGTGCCGGGAGATGTAAGTGAAGACAAAGTCATCTTAGCGGCAGCCAAGAACTGGCTTAAAGAGCACCTTCTGAGCAAGAACGCCAGGGCACGAGGTCTGATTTTCGAAACAGGGGCATCCAGAAAGAGGGGCGTGTTAAAAAAAGTCAAGATGGTGGCTGTGTGCAAAAAAGAGGCGGGGCTTTCATCATGTGGCCGTGGCTGCCATCTTGACTATTTTTGATATATTCCCCATGGATGCCCGTTTCAAAGAAACAGACTTTTCTGATGATACTCTACAAATAGATGGTGCTGATCCACTCAGTAAATTCAGAAGCATCCGTTGTCTTTTGACCCTGTTTATAGCTGGGAATACATACTGAAATCATTCATTATTTACACGGACCGGGTTAGCGTTTTTGGATTTCTGCCTGTTTAGCCAAGGCTATTATCGCATTCAGGAGAATGATGCGCTACAGCAGGCCTCAAATTTTTGCAGTACTGCAACCCCGTAAAGTGATAAATTAATTGCAGTGATGCCGCCCCCTTGAATAAATCTGATGATTTCGTTGGTGTTAGGTTAGGCGAGGAAACAATATACCACTTTTAATCATTATATTTTAATCCCTACAACCTATGAGTTCTCCAACTTTGCAGTAGACCAACTGCCCAGCGTGGGGCCAAAAGGAGGATCAGAGCCAGGGTGAGTTTTGGCAATGGTCTGAAGCCCGATCAGTTGTTTTTTTTAATGTGACCCCCCCCCCCCCCCCCCCCCCC